GGTCACATATCTTCTAGGATCTGGTGATGGGCCACTTGTGTGGGATGGGTGATGTGAGTAGTAGCAGTTCCCATATTTTAGTACCCACAGGGACACTTGTAGACATATCATGTTCTTGCTTGATTGGAGTGTGCCTCTAATTTATTAATTTTCATTGTTGATCTTGCATTCTTGTTTATTTCCCTCCTTGTCCGTCCTTTGTAGAAGCTGTAGGTTTTCATTTCATGGCTGACTGCCGCAATACTTCCATGGCCCGCATTGTTTCCGCCTGACTGCTTTAACTTTACAAGGTCTCACTTCTCCCGGCACTAAACCTTCCACACTGCCTAATAAATATTTCCACTTACTGTGAAGCCTGAGTGTTACATAGTCATGTAGTGTACAGTATCTACACATGAATCACCATTAACTCTACACAATAAAATGCTGATCGGGTAGAAGCAGTGTTTCCAGGTTACTGTGATGGATGAGCGTTTCTGCACCTTGTCTGTAGATTACTAGGAAGACGTAAATCCCTCTCTTCTAACCGCTATGAGTATTAGATTTCGTAAAAAAAAAATATATATTGCATAAGCCATTTACCATTCTTATTTGCATATCAATAGAATGGACTGTTGATTTATTTTCTTTATTTATTCATGAGCCATAAATATTGCAGTTCTTTTTTATTTCCTGGCGCAAAATGGCAAGGTGGAAGTTCTGACATTGACTACAAGGGCTGTTGGATTTCAAAGTACCTATGGGCTAGCAGGAGACCCTGAGGGCTGCTCAGCCCTGAAAAGCAATATGTTAACACAACAGAAAAATTCACTGCAGATAATACATATTTTGGGCTTCGTTTCCAGTATATTTTGTGCCTGTCCATATATTGCTTCTTTGATATGAGCAAACTTTACAAATAGTCATAAATATGGCCGGTCTTTGGGTTAGGTTCCCAGTCTAGTTGGCATGACAATTATTGGTTTCTCGATCAGCCATGTGAAAGGAGATTTAGAAAAGATCCCACAATAAGATGGGCTTATGTCACAAAGTATTTTTTTTCATTTTGGATAGGGTGGGAAAGATATACCATTTCTGATGGGATTTAATTTGTCTGTGATCCAATGGGGAGATTTTGCCCGTACTTCCTGTCCCTCTGGATGTGGTTGTCACTGGGGCAGGAATTTCAACATCTTCATTTCAGCAAAAGTTTTGCAGTGTAGCTTAATTTGAATACACAGGATTCTTGGCTCTTGCAGGCCTTCTGCAAAGTTCTACAATCAACTACCACTGTTCTTATGGGCGGGGCCAGTGCTAAACTATTTTGCACCCTAGGCAAGACCAGCTACTTGTACCCCTGCTCCCCCCCCCCCAAAAAAAAAAAAAAAATAAAAGTTCACCTGTATTTCTGCTTCACCCCTTCCCAGCACAAATCCTTCCTCCCCACCCAAATCCCCCTCAATCCCCCTCTACTAGCACAAATCCCCCATCCCTTCTCCTAGCACAATCCCCCCTTCCAATCCTCCCTATTAGCACAAATCCCCCCCCCCCATCCCCCTGCTAACACAAATCACCCCTCCTAACACAAATCCCCCCCCCCCCCCCCCCCCCCCCCCAGCACCAGTCCTCTCTCTTCAATGCCCCCTACTAGTATGCATTCCCCCAAATCCCTCCTCTAGCTAAACCCCTCCAAATTATCCTTCCCAGAATAAAATCCTCCCACCTTATCCCCTCCTTTTAGCTCAAATCCTCCCTCCTACCCCTGACACATATCCCCCATTTCTTTTCCTAACACTAATCCCCCTCCCCATCATCCCCATTACCCTTCCCAGCACAAATAGCTTCCATCTCCCCTGCTGCACAAACCTCTCATCACAGCACAGATAATTGTTACCTCTACCCTCCTCCTTTCATTGTGTTCTCCCAGACTGTAACTTACTGCACTTACAGGTGGGAAACCAGATAAAGATGGGGGTTGTGCTGTTCTCTCATTCCTGACAGTGGAGCGATCCTCCATACAGCAGATGACACAGGATCGCTCTGGGATCAGGTTGTACACAGTATGATTACCCCTCCCCCTATCTCCTTCAATGAACGCTCATCTCTCGGCAGCAGGGAGCCAGGGAAGGAATCGAACACTGAACATGCTGATGTAAGAGCAATCCTGTGGCATCTGCTTTATGGAGGATCACTCCAATGATAGGAGAGAAGAGCACAGCCCGCACCTCCCGACTCTCTCCTGTCATTTCTCCTTTGCAGGCTTCATTGCTCCAGGCTGCTCTCTACTTGTCCCAGCCATGAGTGGGGGGATGGGAGAAGGCACTCAGCGGCCGGGCACAGTGTCCATGGAAAGATCAGCCTGGGGGGCACAGCTGAAATCTTGGGAGGTGTAGACCACCCCATTACCCCCCTAGATCCAGCCATGGCAGAGTAGGGAAACCAACGGCCTTGGCGGGTGCCTAGTCCTCCTAGTGGTAGCACCGGCCCTGCTTCTGGGTTGAATAGCATGCAACCTGTGATCTCAGGTCATCATGGCCAATGCCCCCTGGGAGTATCATATTGGCACCACTACTTGGAACTCATAAGCGTATTATAGGAGAAGTACAGCTAAAGCTCTTTTGGCTGTACTTCTCCTTTGCATCACAGGGGTGCAGTTTGTTCTGCAATCCTGTGACCCATTTTCAGTTGACAGCGGGCTAAAGTCTGCCGTTGGCTGACGTCACTCAAGTGGTCAGGGCTGGGGAAAGATCCTGACTTTAAGTTACTGCTCAGAGCAGCTGTGAGAACTCAGCGGTCATATTCTCAGACTTGGAGCCGGTGGGAGACAGTTGTGACATTGGACCGATGCTGCATCCTTGTAGGTAAGTATAATTTAAAAGAAGAAAAAAGCCACCCCACGATTCTCTTTTAAGACCAGCTGCTGTGGCTTAACTAGCAATTATTATTTAATCCTGTCATCGTCTCACCATTCAATTGAATACGGTGGGGTCCTCTGAAGGTAAACCAACAACCAATGGGTCAAGAAGGACCACTAAGTAGTAGCTACAAACGAGGACCGGCCTAGGCTGTCTGGGCTCACGCAACTCCTGAAAGTGTAGAACATTGACACCACTCTGTCCAAGACCCAGGACGAGGAATAGGGGAAGATTGTGTGAGATCTCCATACTGGCCAAAACCTAGCAAGACTCAAGATATGTATAAAGGGTTTTTTTTTTTTTTTAAAATAAAATTGTGTGTGATGGAGTTGTGTCAAAAATGCTAGACTACTGGGTCCTGTAGTGATGTATTGATTGGTAGGAGGAACTAGAGGCCCCCAGCCAGAGACGCACTATATGGCGCACAAGTCGAATAGCAGTGTAAAACCTCAGAGCTCCTCAAGAGATAGAGAGAGAGGTTTCAACGCAACACTCACCTGCAGTAATAGCCTTTGTTGGAGGGGAGGACCAAGGTGAGAATGGCTTGTCCTGCTTGCACAGCTTCCTGGGTTAGTCCCATCACATATCCTAGGAGACAATACAGTGAGCGGCCAGAGGGTGAAGCTTGATCATTTACTGAGGGCTAGGCTGCCTGAACCCAGAAAAAAGGCCAGCTGAGGACACCAAGATGGCAGTATGGACAATTAAACAGCGGATCTCTGCAAGAGATCACTGGATTCACTATGCTGGTAGTTATTTTTTTTTTTTTTTTAAAGAACTCTGCATAACAGATAAGGAGGGATGGGAAAAAAGTAAATATGGGAGGAGAGTGAAGTTCCCTTAAAAGAATATGTAAACCCATTGTTCATATTCCTGATGTGTGCCTGCTGTACCATGTACTTGTATGAAAAAGTATCCTGTTCCCTTTGTATTGCTTTCCTTGTGTGAAATCTTTGGTGTTGTTGCCAGTCCCTCTGCTTTCCTATTAAAAACTGACCACACTAGGCACGAGAACACAGCGTAGTCAGTTTTGTAGCTAAGCTGCAACCCAGCCTGCTCTTTTCCAATGGTCAGATTTATGCTGCTCCCTGTCCATTCACTGGAAGATCAATGCAATGCTGTTTCTCTTCCCTGAGCTTCTTATGCAGCTGAGAACAGAGGGTATGTGATCACTTCTAAAAAGGGGATTTATAATGTTTATTCTATATACACACAAATGTTTTGCATTTCATTTCTATTTTAAACCGAATGTGTTGTTTCATAAGGTGAGGATTTACATATATTTTCCTAGATTGTAAGCTCGAAAGAGCAGGGCCCTCGATCCCCTCATGTTTTGCATTGTATTGGTATTGTTCTGTCACATGTTCTGTCCCCCTTTGTAATGTACAGCGCTGAGCGAACTATTGGCACTTTATAAATACTGTATAATAATAATATATTTTAACATTCATTTACAGGGTGGCTCTTGTCTGTGAATTACAGAAGTGACAAGGTTGTCGTAAAAACATTCTGCAACACTTTGCAATCTCCTTAAATGGGGGCACAGTTGGGGTTTCTTCCCCCAGTGGGGGGATAGCTGCAGCTAGTGAGATTCTCTATGCCGTAATGAGATGTTCAGGGAAGCAGCACCGAGAGAGCAGGAGCCAGCAGCACTGAAAGTTGTAAACTGCAGGTGCTGGGGTAAATCGTTCACTGAGGAATGTTTATTTCATTGTTCTCAATGTGTTAAGGTAAAAATGCTGAGGTTTTAGTACTACTTTAATGATGAACCCAGTTTTGGCCCCCGGAGGACATAAAACAGCCTGAGCAAGTATGGGTAGTTGAACTACTGGGACTAGTACAGCGAAGTGATGCTGAATCTCCCAGTAATCCCCAGTGGGCTGCACCACTATACATTGTTAGAGTCAAATTATGACAAATGAATGGAGCTAATAAATGGAGAAAAGATCGTTCTAGGAATGAGCGGCAAGAAAATTGGACGGGATGCATACAAACCACTTCTAATACTTGATACATACAAGAAACATTAGGCACTGCAGCGTCCTATAGAAACTGTGTACAATTGCAGTCAATGCCAAGCTAACAGTACGCTTTTCTCTCTCCTAGACCCTGAAAGTTTAATGCAGGCATTGGAGGATCTGGATTACCTGGCAGCCCTCGACAATGATGGAAATCTCTCTGAATTTGGAATAATTATGTCTGAATTTCCACTGGATCCACAGCTGTCAAAATCTATTTTAGCTGCCTGCGAGTATGACTGCGTGGATGAAATGCTCACGCTGGCTGCCATGGTTACAGGTATTGTACAAGGAAAACAATAGGGACTTCTTCTGTGCATGCTAAACAGCGGACGTTTCCGCCACGAGCGCGGGGAGAGCTGGGGGGGCCCCCATCCTCAGGCCAGCGCCTGCCTCTGGAATGGGACCGTGCAAACACGGCCTCTAAAAGTGTATTTGTATGCAAATTAAAGGTACGGCGAGACAATTGCGGTTTCGATAGAACAGATGACACCGATATAGCAATTTTAGCACGCCGTAAAATAAAAAACACTTGGTACGGGAAATGTGGCGGCGCAGATCATGAGTGAGATTGCTTTGTCCTGCTGCTATCTGGAGCTGTAAATATTGCAGAGTATGTGAAAAAAATGAACCAAACCGATGACACGACTTGATGACAGATTACAGCAGCAGAGTATGGAGAAAATAAACTGCAATAAGTGCCGCTGGGGTCATAGCTGGGAAGGAGTCAGGCCTTGTTCACATAGGCAGTAAAAGGATGTGCTCAGCATGCGTCCCGGGCACCTGCCAAGTCCCCCATCCCCCCAAACCTTGGAGCAAAAAGCAGCATTGAGTCAAAGCTGCATGTCGGAGAAATGGACGCTTCGATCGCCGTCTGGTACACCTGGTGCAACTCAAATACTGAAAGTCCATTGGTTTTCATTGCAGCCCCAGTAAGGAAGAAGCAAAATTCGACAGCACTCACCCCCGACACCCAGCGCTGAGGGCCTAGTAAACGGACTTCTAGTTTATAATGAAAACAAAGGGTTAAAGTGTTACTAAACCCACAACAGTAAAATCAGTCTGTATATGCAGCAAAGGATGCTTGTTATACTCACTGTGGAACCTAAGGCTGTTTGATCCTGACTTCTCTGATCCTCCCCTTCTTCCAGTGTCTTCTTATTATCTCCTGATAAGATATATCGTGTGGAGTCACTCTGCACATGCTCAATTTGGTGTGTATTGCTAGAGAGGTTTTTTTTTTTTTACTTGGGAGAGTGCATGTGATCAGCACAGGGCCAATCAGCACTGTCCAGACAGGTCAGGGGTTCTGCATTCTCCTAGAGAACTCCTCCTACAAGCTGTAACCAGTGCTCTGCTGGACACTGATAGAAGTCACAAGACTGCTCTACCTGCTGATGACAAAAGGTATTTAGCAGTTTATATTTACTAAAATAATTGCACTTCCATGTTCTGTATACTGTGGAAGACCAGATATAGTGAATGCAGGATCCTGGGAGACCAGATATAGTGAATGCAGGGTCCAGGGAGACCAGATATAGTGAATGCAGGGTCCAGGGAGACCAGATATAGTGAATGCAGGGTCCAGGGAGACCAGATAAAGCGAATGCAGGGTCCAGGAAGACCGGATATAGTGAATGCAGGGTCCAGGGAGACCGGATATAGTGAATGCTGGGTCATGGGAGACCAGATATAGTGAATGCAGGGTCCTGAGAGACCATGATATAGTGAATGCAGGGTCCGGGGAGACATGATATAGTGAATGCAGGGTCCGGGGAGACATGATATAGTGAATGCAGGGTCCGAGGAGACCGGATATAGTGAATGCAGGGTCCGAGGAGACCGGATATAGTGAACGCAGGGTCCAAGGAGAGCGGATATAGTGAACGCAGGGGCCTGGGAGAGCGGATATAGTGAACGCAGGGTCCTGGGAGAGCGGATATAGTGAACGCAGGGTCCTGGGAGAGCGGATATAGTGAACGCAGGGGCCTGGGAGAGCGGATATAGTAAATGCAGGGTCCTGGGTTTAGTAACGCTTTAAAGTAGAGTAAAAGAGAAAGGGTAAGGGGCTCACACAAAAAAATTCTTTCCTTTTGAAGTTTGATCCATGTTCACATCGTGCTTCAGAGGCTACTGACACCGCCTATTTTAACCTAATTTTTGCCAACAAACACGCCACAACTGCCTGCATTGCGTGTGGTTCTGGGGTGTTTGCAGCTCTTTCCAATTTGTTGCGTTCACTACATAATGATTAAAAAAAACAAACCGGAGAGAGCAAACACCTAGTTCTTTACCAGAGATTTCATGTGTAAAAACATAGTGACAAAATGGGTCCTCACAAAAGTGGAAGGTACAAGAGCACAAAAACTAAGAGACGCCATGCAGTGCAGGAATCATGTAATCCAACATACAACCCTGCTATGCTGACAAGCTGATGCGGTCTAGGGCGCACCGCCTTCTTCAGAGCTAGGCTGACTTTGCCAAGGGTGTGATGCTTTGCGTCTTTAAATACTCTTGTCTACTGCCTATTGCAGTTTAAGGGGGGATGTTTGCGTGGTTGAGCCACATTTTTGTCACCCGCCAATTTTGTCACTCCCCAAATTCACATCTAAATGAATCCATCTTGTGGTAAACCCTCTGTATTCACTCTGGTGAAGTCTTCTCTTGATTGTTGACTTTGACACACATACACCTACCTCCTGGAGAGTGTTCTTGATCTGGCCAACTGTTGTGAAGGGTGTTTTCTTCACCAGGGAAAGAATTCTTCAGTCATCCACCACAGTTGTTTTCCGTGGTCTTCCGGGTCTTTTGGTGTTGCTGAGCTCAACGGTCCGTTCCTTCTTTTTAAGAATGTTCCAAACAGTTGTTTTGGCCACGCCTAATGTTTTTGCTATCTCTCTGATGGGTTTGTTTTGTTTTTTCAGCCCAATGATGGCTTGCTTCACTGATAGTGACAGCTCTTTGGATCTCATCTTGAGAGTTGACAGCAACAGATTCCAAATGCAAATAGCACACTTGAAATGAACTCTGGACCTTTTATCTGCTCATTGTAATTGGGATAATGAGGGAATAACACACACCTGGCCATGGAACAGCTGAGAAGCCAATTGTCCCATTACTTTTGGTCCCTTAACAAGTGGGAGGCACATATGCAAACTGTTGTAATTCCTACACCGTTCACCTGATTTGGATGTAAATACCCTCAAATTAAAGCTGACAGTCTGCAGTTAAAGTACATCTTGTTTGTTTCATTTCAAATACATTGTGGTGGTGTATAGAGCCAAAAATGTTAGAATTGTGTCGATGTCCCAATATTTATGGACCTGACTATATATATATATATATATATATATATATATATATATATATATATATATATATATATATATATATATATATATATATATATATATATATATATATAGTGGGCACTCGCTTCAAATGGTAGAGCTTCTTCCAAGCACACAGCAACTCGCTTCTTTTTAAGGGCCTTTTTGCCCAATTTTATTTACAAGAAAGTTCAACAAAAATGCTTCCCACGCAGGGGTATCCACCATCAAGCAATACCAACCAAAGATTCAGCCTCCTGGCTTGTACACAGTTCACTGTCTGCCTCCTGCAGACTCTTCCCAAAATATGTCACTAGCACACAGCTAGTCTGGCTTCCACCTGACTCCAAGGCAGAGACCTCCCGTCTGCCGGGGTGGAGCCCTCCTGACTCCGTTTGCCGGGGTGGAGCCCAGAACCATGGTTAGGCCTCTACAAAAAGCCCTGCACACACCTGTGCAATCAGTGGGCTGGGGGTTCTCAAAACATGGACCCCGGATTGGAGATTTCATCCCTCCCAGATCTCTTTGAAATCTCCAGGCTCCAGATCCCAAAACAAACTTAATGAATAAATGAGGAAACCGAAAAAAGTCAGTTTCCTCTGCAATACATTAACTCTCTGGAGCCCCTCAACCTGCCTGGTTGAGAATCCAGGGTTTTCAGCTTTATTTTGACCGTGGCAGGACACCGCACTGCCACAATTATATATATATATATATATATATAATATATATATACAGTCATGGCCGAAATTGTTGGCACCCTTGATATTTCTCCAGGAAATCATGTATTTCTCACGAAACGTATTGCATTAACACATGTTTTGCTATACACATGTTTATTCCCTTTGTGTGTATTGGGACAAAACAAAAAAAGGGAGGAAAGAAAGCAAATTCGACATAATGTCACACAAACCTCCAAAAATGGGCTGGACAAAAGTATTGGCACCCTTTCACAACTGCGGATAAATAAGAATGTTACAAGCATGTGATGCTCCTGTAAACTCACCTGGGGCAAGTAACAGGTGTGGGCAATATAGAAATCACACCTGAAAGCAGATAAAAAGGAGAGACGTTCACTTAACCTTTGCATTGTGTGTCTGTCTGTGCCACACTAAGCATGGACAACAGAAAGAGGAGACGAGAACTGTCTGAGGACCTGAGAACCAAAATTGTGGCAAAATATCAACAATCTCAAGGTTACAAGTCCATCTCCAGAGAACTAGATTTGCCTTTGTCCACAGTGCGCAACATTATCAAGAAGTTTGCAACCCATGGCACTGTAGCTAATCTCCCTGGTCGTGGACGGATGAGGAAAATTGATGAAAGATTGCAACGCAGAATAGTCCGGATGGTGGATAAGCAGCCCCAAACATGTTCCAAAGACATTCAAGCTGTCCTGCAGGCTCAGGGAGCATCAGTGTCAGCGCGAACTATCCGTCGACATTTAAATGAAATGAAACGCTATGGCAGGAGGACCCAGGAGGACCCCACTGCTGACACAGAGACATAAAAAAGCAAGACTACAGTTTGCCAAAATGTACTTGAGTAAGCCAAAAGCCTTCTGGGAAAACGTCTTGTGGACAGATGAGACCAAGATAGAGCTTTTCGGTAAAGCACATCATTCTACTGTTTACCGAAAACGGAATGAGGCCTACAAAGAACAAAACACAGTACCTACGGTAAAATATGGTGGAGGTTCAATGATGTTTTGGGGTTGTTTTGCTGCCTCTGGCACTGGGTGCCTTGACTGTGTGCAAGGCATCATGAAATCTGAGGATTACCAAAGGATTTTGGGTCGCACTGTAGGGCCCAGTGTCAGAAAGCTGGGTTTGCGTCCAAGATCCTGGGTCTTCCAGCAGGACAATGACCCCAAACATACGTCAAAAAGCACTCAGAAATGGATGGCAAAGAAGCGCTGGAGAGTTCTGAAGTGGCCAGCAATGAGCCCAGA